AGTGAACTTTCTACATTTTCTATTCTTTTTTTCTCTCAGACTCTTCAGCTGTTGAATGTACACATTCATCATTCTTCTGAATTCTTTTTCTAGTAATTCCATAGCCAGTTAAATTTTTGCTATTTCCTTTAAGTCTGGATATTGTTCACTTATTTGTACCTACTTCTCTTGTTTTGTTAGTGTGTGTACATATTATTATTTTTTGTTATTTTCTTGGCATAATGGTATAGCTATTAGAGGTGGTAGGGAATTGGAGTTGTGTAGGAGTTGTTAACTGTTGAGTGGTGTAGTAGAGGAATAATAGATGCTTCAAAACAGGTAGTAGGGGAGAGGGGAAAGATAAAAAGACCAGAAGAGTAAATAGAGGAAAGAGGGAAAAAAGGGTCAGATAGTCTTAATTTAAGAATTGTTTAAAAAAAAACAACAAATTATTATATTTGAAGGACAAAACAAAGGATAGTACTAATTGAAAGAGAATTATCAAAGTAGTACAAACTTTTGTTTAGAAGAAAAGGCAAGGACAAAGGAATAAAAAGGGAGGAGCTGTTGGTGTTGTTTGGGGTCTGCCCAGTAGTGTTTTAACTGGTGTGGGTAAGAGACAGGTGTGTTTCCAGGAGATATGTGGGTAGCTTAGGTGGGTTTAGGACCTAGGCTGGAAGCACAAATGGTGAGGACTAGTTGAGCTGTTGCAATCAATGCCTATGGGTGAGAGTCTTTACCAGGTCAGGTGCTTGGACTGCCAGGAATATGTTTTGGCTGGACAGTGGTCTAGAGGTGAGAGAATTGAATGGAGTCGCAGAATATAGAAAAGTTTCTTAGGGCAGTCTGGGGCTGAGTGGGTATAAAAGGAGTGGGTTCACACCTTTCAAGAGGCAGGGGTTTCTGTGAAGGGTCACTGGAGGCGGTAGCAGAGCAGTAGTGAACCTGTTATTGGGATGGCTAGGGGGCAGGCTAGGGGCCATTTGTGGTCTTAGGAGCAGGGTATTCTCTGAATGGCCTGGGATGGTCCAAATGAGGTGCTAGTTGGGAGATGGGGGTATTGCTAACTTGGGAAGATTATAGAAGTGTTTGGAAAAATTTTTTTTAAAGAATGAAAGAAAAGATAGTACTGATTAAAAGGAATTATAAAAATAGTACAAGATTTTGTTTTAAA